TTACAATATTATACTTTAATGTATAATATTGTAAAGGAAACAAAACATCAATCAAAAATTGCTCTCTTTTTTATTCGGGCTACTTAAATTTATTTTGGGTTACCAAAAACTGAAGAGTCCCTGCCTGAAGGGCGACCAGGGATTTTGAAATTTTGCGAGCCCTGTCACTTCATGAATAGACTGTACAGTTGCATCTTTGATATTAGATCCAAGGCTACATGTGTCAAACATAACATCAGGCCTCGTTTGTTTGGCAACCCACAAAATCTGTCCTATTTTTGACCCGAGTTGCTCACATTCCGTTTCACTTAAGGAAGCACCCCTCTGTACAGCCCGTGCTGCTTGTAACTGAACTGGTTGTAGGTTGTCAATGTAAAGTTGTTGATGCACCTCTATTACATCATTAACTGTACAAATGTCCATACCAACATAAGGAAAGCTGTCATGTTCTTCACGGCCCACAAGGAAGGTAGATTTCAGTACAGGAATGATATGAGTTGCAAAGTGACTTGAACCAGCCCAAAGGAAATCATCAACGTGACATGCAAGCACTCCTGTAATCTCAGATTGTTCATTCTGCCAATAGAACACTGCAGGATCAACCTGTGATATTTTACCACCAGTTTTGGGCATAATGTCTTTGACCTTATTGTACCAATAAAGTGAAGCATCTGCAAGTCCATAAACACACTTTTTCAGTTTCCATAGAACATGGTCCTTGCCAGCTTCAGGTGGGGTTTGAAGATATGTCTCTTGACAGTTCCATTCCCTGCAAGAAGGCAGATTTAATGTCCATTGAATTTACTCTCCACTTGTTTTGACATATCACAGCTAGCACCAGTCTGAGGGACTCAGACGCACATGTTGGAGAGTCTTTCTGTAGTTCTTTAGTATTTACCTCTTCAAACCCCCGTGCCACAAGTCGAGCCTTTGGGACAACACCTTTAGTAGTTTCTTTGAGTGTACAGACCCATCTTGTAGAGACACATTTTTGACAAAGGTCTTTCACTTCATCAAACACACCTGGACCCTTCCACTCTGTACAGTCG